TTCATAGAGGAACACACATACATTATCTGCAGAAAGGCACTCATTCATTCATTAGTCCCTCTACTGTTCGCATTTGCATAAAAGCAAAAGCTTTTTACAAATGTAGTTCTGTGCCACGAACATCTTCAGAACCAAATCCATCACTAAATGAGTTTTTTTTTTTTCTCCTCCTCTGCAGAGATGCAGAGCCGAATACGTTGGGATTCATAAAGTTTTATCTACCTCTTTAATTTGTTGCTCAGGGAATGATGTTATGAAAGAAACTCACGAAATGGTTTCTGTTATGTAAAAACAGACGCGAAGAAAGTTTAACGACGGCCGGACTAATGAAGAGAGCGAAACATTATCTCTGCCGCACAAACAGAACCTCGGATGCTTTTTGAAGTCGCGCTCAAAGTTAAAGTCAGATAACAAGCAGGGACGTTGGAAGTGAACACGGAGCTGAGTTCTGTGTAATAAGTCTAAATACAGATTGATAACAAGATTAGGTACAAAGTGGGAAAGAGGCAGAAAAGAATAAGCAACAGAGAGACGCTTTCACACGGAAAGAAAGACGGGTTCCAAAATCTAAGCAGCTGTGGTGAAATATGAAAGTTGAGGGACTGCTGTGGGGTAAAGTTCTTTCAGACGACTGCAGAATATCGGAGAGAAAAGCAGGCTGCAGAGGGAACCAGAATCTTTTGCTGGTTCTGAATCTGAAAAGCGAGAAAGACAAATCTACCAATTTATAAATGTTCAATCATCAGTTTCAGTCAGTTTCATGTGTGTTTATTGATGGTGATTTAATTCATATTTACAATACATGTAACACGGTTGACAGTAAAAGATGTGTTTTTTATTTAAAGACAAGGTGACTTTGATGTTCTGCTGTTTTGGGATCATTTAAGATAATTCTTTATTAATTCATTTACTCATTGTAATATGATAACTTTCTGATTGTAATATACAGTCGTCCTCGAATGTATTCACACGCTTCCATTAAAGAAAAGGAAAAATTCACAATCAAACAACTAGAAACTGAAAAAAGTAATGATAAATAAAAAGTTGCTAAATTATAATTTAGTGAAATAAAACACTACTTTTGAATTGTGACTGGAAAGAATACTTAAAGAAAACAAAACTGTCCCGGACAAATTAGAGCACTTTGCTGATGAGCAGTGAAGTCAGAACACCTGTCAACAGGTGCAGAAGTCTGACTGAGAGTTACAGGAAACACCTGATTGGCTCAAAGGGATGTTCAACTACATATTAGTTTATGGGGTCCATCATGCTTGTTTGCTTGTGTGTTTTTTGTTTTTTTTAATATATATTTCTGGTAAACCACAATTTAAAAGCAACATCATGATTTTCATACATTTTTATTTATTATTACTTTTGTCAATTTCAGCTTATTTCAGTGACTGAAGCTGTTTTTTTTTCCCCTCCTTTAATGGGAGGGTATGAATAAATCTGAGCACGACTGTATTTACTGTTATGTAACGCTGAGATTTGACATCATCCAAGAAGAGTTCATTCTAACAATTTACACCAACAAACAAGTAGAGACTAGAGCCAAAATATCGTCAGATATTTGTTAAATATATAGACATATATTAGCATGTTAGAGTAATATTGAGAAGGAAAAGATGACGCAATCGTTGCTTTTACCTTTTCCAGTAACATATTTAACAAACGAGCTGGCTGCTTACCATGAACACACTGCTTGCTCTACTGAATAAACTATGTGTGGACACCATTTCTGATTTACAACCAGCATCTTTTTATGCATGATGTTCTGCACAAGCCAAAGTTTTTCTGTTGGACAACGTACATGTCGACACTGACAGGAAAATATCGGCCAACTAATCTGTCAAGTTTTTAGTTAATATGATGGGATAACTGATGGACTGATAGTAAGACTACTGAAAAATCAATTCAAAAGTTGGTACAGCCAGATACCAAGTAAAGATGGGTTGTTTTTACAAGGAGAGTTAACAGGATTTCCTTAAAAAATACCTGAAAAAATACTGAAAATGTGTTAATATTAGATTAGATTGCACTTTATTTTTCACCACAAATGGGGAAACTCATGCATTGCAGCAGTATAGATTCAGGAAAGGAGCACAGAAAGGTGTATATGTGTATATTACTGCAATGAGAGTTATAAGAAAAAGGTTTTGTGGAGGTATGTTGGGACCAAACACGTCTGTTTCCATCTGTTTTGGCGACCTTGCTGTTGTCATGAGCTCCCAGCAGTCATCGGGTACAAAAAACAGCATCCCCATGTGATCTAGAGGGAAAAATCAGCCGCACTGGAAGGTGAAAGCTGTTTTTTATTTTCTGTTTTCAAATGTGTCAAACTAATTAAGCAAATTGCTGCTGTCACTGCCAAACTCTGCTTTAGGCGTTTGTCTGGGACAAAAGATCATTATGACGCTTACGTGTGCACACGTCACCATGGTGACGCAGATTCTGGGTGACACAGTTTACAGCGCTGCTGGGAAGTAACTGAGTACATGTATCCAAGAGCTGTCGATGGGAACAGCTTGAAGTACTCGAGTATTTGCACTCGGCTGTGTCGTGCTTACTCCACTAGATGTGTCTGAGAGCTGAACGTTACAGATTGGGATTTTTCATTTGGTCCTAAAATAAGATGCTTTAACCCTCAGAAGCCCACTGGTGGGGTGGATAAGTGTGCTATCTTTATAAAAAATGGTCAAATTACTCCATTTATCAGAGCCAGAAACTGCAAAAACAGAAAGAATTGCTAGATTTCCAATGGTCCTTGAACTGCTCATCACTGAGATGCTGCTCTGTTGGAAAACTGAACCCAATCTAAAGTTAATATTATGATATTTCATTATTGTCAGTTTATGTTAAATGGATAAATAAAACAATAAATAAATAAAAAAGCCAAATATAAGATTTGTACCAAACAGATTTGATCAAAAATACAAAAAATCCTGAACTCCTCGTTACAACCATGAAGCCATTAATGACTTAGCCGTGACCAATGACTTTGTGAAAACATTTTTTGGGAATTTCTGGCTGAACTGAAGGCTGTGATTAGACTGATCAGAGTAAATGCTTGCAGTAAAACATACATCTAGCATGTAGAGCTGCTATTTATTTAATTTTTTTCCATTATTGGTAACACATTAGTTAAAATGTGAATGTGTTGATTCCACATTTTTTTCGAAATTTCCCAACATAATCCAGAAAAATTAAACTGTGATTTTCTCTTTTGTTTTATGGCATCATAGAAGGAATATCTGAGTTCTGTCTCCTTCTGATGATCCCACAGTAAGCAAAAATGTTATAAGAGCAGAGAAACAGCCAGAAACTGCTTAAGGTTCAGAGGGTTAAAGCTTAAACTTGTGGTTTTTAAACATTTTGGCTTGTGAGCTCTTACAATAAAACATGTATTTAGGCCTCTGAGTTGGTAGCAGGTCGCCAGAAGACACATTTTCTTTCTAAGCTTTTCAAAATGTCTTATTTCAGCACCATCATAACTGTGAATTATCTTGAAAACCATCAGACTACAGGAAAATTCAAAAGCTGAAGACAGATTATGCACAAATACTCATTTCTTGAGCCTCAGGTTGGAAACCTCTGGACTCAACCTCAAGCAACTTTTTAATAAAATATCAGTCACGCGAGCCATTTTATTGCAGACTGAGCACTTTTTTGCAGAACTTAACTTGTATATTAGGCTGACAGAAGAGGCCCATACCTGGTATACTGTGTCTTCTTGAGGCCATGGTGTGTTCCGGTCCAGAGATGTCCTTCGTTTTTCCATACGGCCCATCATCTAGAAAGAAAAACAGACACAGAACAAACCGTAAGTGTCGTGTATTTTGCTTCACTTTGTTTGGTTTAAAGCTATGTTCATGCTGAAAGTATTAAACCAGCGATAGTTTGACAGTGAGGTAACAAAAATGAACAGTTCATACGGTCCTGCATAACTAGATGCTGAAACACTCGCTGTCGAGAGCTTGAAATTGCGGCGATGAGCAGATACTCACAAACAGCACAGAAACAAGAAGCGAGACGGAGCTAATTAAGTTCAGTTACCAAATATCACTCAGATTAATAGCGTTCGTCGAAGCATGAAGCAGGACGACAACTCATTAAAACACCTAAAAGCTGGCGGGTTGGGAGCTTCTCAGACGACAACATGTTAACACACATGAAATGATTCAAACCAGCACTGCGTAAATGTAAAGCTGCTCGGCTCTGAACACCATTTGTCTCCCTCTCCAGACGGGAATCCTCCACCTGCTCCCCATCTGAGACCAAAACCAAGATAGTCCACGTTCCCTCCTGCATGCTAGTGAATGTAATAAATGTTATATTTGACTGTCCTCTGTTTGGCTGGATTGAATTAGTAAAAGCTGAAGCCCAGTGGTTTGTAGTTTTTAATTAGGATGTAATTAAGCTATATTGGCTTTGATGTGGACTTTTTTCATCAGCGTAATCTTTTTATTCCTCATATACGGTTAAATAAATCGGCGTCCTTGCAGTGTTTTGTTGTGTAATGATTCCTCTGTAGCCTCTAGTTCATTAGATTTAAGTTTGATAGGCGGGTACATGAGGGGAGGATGGACAGGTGTAGGTGCATCCTGTAGATCTGCAGGTAACAGGTGCAGGTGTTTTACTGCAACCTTCCAGTAATATTGTCAGGATTGAGCCACAATGTTCACTCAGCTGAAAACCTGGTGAAGAGAATGTCACATGGGTTAAAATAGATGGACCGATTATCATCCATTTTTTCTAATTATTGGTATTTTTATTGACTGATAATTGCTAAACTAAATGCTACGTCAGATCTGATGCAGCAACCTCTGTGATTTCAGAAATGTCTCTCAAGCAGAGACCGAAAAAGCTGAACACAAACCAGGAAATTAGCTTCGTTCAAAGCGGCTATGGCTACGCTAACGGCTAGCGGCTAAGTTAGCACGCAGACACAGATTACCCTCAAAGTCTGGAAAACAATAATTAATAATGCTTTAAGATCTAGATGATAATAAAAGTGACAGTCCAGTGAAATAATAAGAAAATAGAGAACACTAAATGTCACATAAACAGACGACAGCATCCTAATTTAATCCCTCCTATTTCTGTTTTACATATTCAATTACAGTCATCCTTATTAATAATGAAGACGAATTATGAATGACAGGTCTGCTGCTACCACATGCCGTTAAAACATAGCATTTATATCGATTCCAAATATCGACCACCGATCCGTCTCGATTACCAGCAATCGCCATCGTTCCTACTTTTCATCTAGTGTCGCCGGCAGATCACACGTCTAACACTTTAGTTTGCAACAGAACGCATCTAAAACTAAAGAAATACTAAAATGCAGAAATTAAGACAAGTCTGAGCAGATGTGATGCTGACAAAGTCGTCTCAAACTGAACATAACCGAACCGCATCAGACGATACAAAAAAAATTAGCCTGAAACCGCACAGCTGCCGTTCCTATTAATTCGTCCTTTTTTTTCCTTTAGAATCAAAGACATCCCAAAGTTTTCTGTCCCACTGAACAGATGCAGTCACAGTGGGTCTTTGTACTTTCACAGAGCTGCAAACTTCTTCTTTTTTTTTTTTTTAAGGGCGTTTCTTCCTCGACAAGCAGAAAATCGGTAAGAATTGTACAAAAATTGTTGAAAAACATCCATCATGCATAATCTGCTTAGCAACACCACAAGCCTTGCATCCATTCTGTACGTACACCCCTGTAAGAAGATTACACACAAGGGAGATTTCCCAAAGTTCCTACACAGTCAGTCACTTTAACTACCTTTCAGTAGGTTCACTGGTAAATACCCACCGAGGGGAGTCGACCAACAGAGTCTCCTGCCTGTTTGGACACTGAAACGGAGGCTATCGCTGTTATATGTCACATTTGGGGGAACAGATGTCCTGTTTTATGGTCTCTGGCAAAGACTTTCTGGCAGAGACGTGCGGGGCTTTAAATATTTGATAAGGTATTATTTCACGTCTGCTCAACTCGCCACAGTTATCTGGAGCTTCGCTCTTTAAACTGCTGGATTTATCTGCGAAGCCCGGAGTCGGGCCCCGTCCAGCCAATCAATGAGCTAATTAATTCATCAATCAATCAATCACGGACGGTTAGGGGAAGGACAGAGGCAGGTCACAGGGTAAATATGCAAAGTTTAGAGGAAAACAAATAGAACAAAATAGTAACGTAGGTGTGGATACTCATAAATGTCATCATGATTACTATTC